GTGACGCAAAGTATGCGTCTGTACTTGTTCACTTGCCTGTCGAGGCCGATAGCCATGATATTGTCGCGACCGTGTCACGACAGCTTTCGCACCCTGTTATTAACTGATTTCGCGTCTCCATTGATACACAGACGAGGCCTCCTATGATATCATGCTAGACTCACCACGCGGCTCTTTTTGTAGGTACTCAGTATGCATGGGAGCAGTGGGCTCGAATAATTGCCCCCTCCTCAGGCAGCTGCCTCGCACGTGCAGCGCGATATGAGAGGTAAACATGCGGCGAATGGCTCATCCTTTGCTTGCAACTGTCTCTTAATCATTTTGATATTTCTGTCAAACCATGGTCCTCTAAGCTCGAGATTTTCAGCTCTTTCAAATTTGCATGTTGGGTGCCTACGCGTACCTTCCAATCTTCTGCGCCGTTCCAGTGTTTACTTCCCCGACTACTCCCACAGCGGACTTCCACCTGCCCTCGCTTGATGCAACACCAACCAGTCTGATCTCAACGGCGACGACTTACCCTCATTCGCTTTTACGCCGACTTTCACGCCGCTTCAATCGAAAGCCACGCACTCGACAGTCCCCATGGCCTACCACTCAGCCTACCGCGGCATTGCGACGGGTGCCAACGGCGAATTTGATCACTTTGTGCGGACAATCGACCCATCACATTTGGAAGGCGGGTATTGGAGGTTCCAGACTATCGACGATGACCGGCGCGCAATGGCCCGCGGCTTCACAACACCTGAGGATGTTCTCCAAGCTGCCGACTCCAGCGACGACAGGTTCGACGAGATCATACTAAGATGGGTGAGGGGCGCAAACGATACAAGCTTCAAGATGGCGATGTCGGGTACGGCGCATCATCATCTCCAAACGATCTACGAACTGCGCTCGATGCTTCATCTGCCCATGTCGTCCAGAGGGCAAGTGCCGCTCTACCCAATCAGCACCAACCCACGTCTTAAGCAGTACTGGGAAGCGAAATACAGAGCCCAACGACCTACCCCGATCGATCCCGCGATTCAGCTACCAGAACGGCCCATCTCATCTCCAGTGACACCAGGGCCCGTACACTCGACTTCATCGCAAGCTCAGCACGCAGAACCAGCGACACCGAAGTCCCCCATTGGCAGACTTACCAGGGCACGCAGCGCGAAGCTATCGCAAGCAGCGGGACCGAAACCTGCAGCCAAAACTAAATCAGTCAAACAAAGAACCAGTGCTACTACATTGCCTGCAGGCCAGCTTTCGCCTACATCTTCATCGTTAGAAAAGGTCAAGATTCCACTTCCTCCTTCCAAAGCGAAAAGTCAGCAGCAGGCTCCCTCCCAACGCTTCGAAACGCAACCGTTGATACCCGCACAACCTGGTCCGTCTATTAGCGGGAGCGTGCCTACGATACCGCGAGCTGCGTTAGAATGGGGATTGCAGTCGTCACCAAAACAAGCAACATCCAATGCTAGCAATGGAGTATCTCAACATAACTGGGTTCACCCGTCTGCTCGCGCCTCTGCTGTACAATACTCTGCTTACGCAGACCCTCCACGACAGCTAGCCCACAGCAAGAGCGCTACAGACCCTTCACCAAATACTACTGCCTCGATTTCAGGAGTTTCCAATGCTTCGAACATACCAATCCGATCTCCGACGAGCGGAAGACAAGACAACCGTTTTGCGGAAACATATCCTGGGTACGTGGCACTGAGGGGGGGAGGCAATGATCGAAGGGATGGTCGCAATGCAGGTTCCTCCGCCAACAAAGGACACAAACCGATCGCAGCTCCGACAACGCCATCTGCTTTCGACGATGATGATAGCATCCCCGGTGTATCAATAAGCCCGCACGCGCCTCACAATGCTTCCTCAAAGACCCCTACGATGGGCTCACAAGAAGTCTCGTCCGAAGACCGATATAGCCCTCTACAGTTACCAGCAAGCTCCCCGGCGCATCACACCGAAGGTACAAATATCGAAGAGCCAATCGCGGCCGTTGGGTCGTGCAACACGGCAACCAATGGGAAGGCTTATGCTTCTCGGGGGAGACAACAGCCTTCAATCAACGACCTTCGGTCGCTCAGCACATCAGACGTATCTACACTGGGTACTAAAGCCGTAGCCGTAGCGGAGAAGCCGGTAGAAACTATCCCCGAGCCATGGGGCAGTTACATGAAAGGCCTTGAACAGCTTCCATGTGTAGATTGCGGAGAAGATGAAGGACACCAGCTGGACTGCAATCTTGGGAGTAAGTGCCATAACAGCAACTCCTCAATATCTCACTAACATTACATAGACATTACACCAATGCAGAACCTCACCGTCCTCGACTATCGCACCCTTGCCGACGCTGTCGAGCAATTCGATCCTGGCCCATGGACAACCCACTTCGTTCCTCCCGAACCCGAACCTGAAGACGCGGCGACACAAATGAGAGGCATGGCCGCCGTCATAAGGAATGAGGATAGCTACAAACAAGATGCCGAGCTTCACGGACTACCTGATGACCTCATGATGATGTTGTGGGCTTTCAAGACTTCGGACAATGTTCAGGTTATCAATGAGTATGTGGACAGCTGCTGACGACTACAATGTGGTGCTGACTTTTGCTCTAGGGATGATTGGGATTCCGGCATCGGCGAGTTCGAGATGTGGTGATGGAACTGTATTGTTATGCTCGCATCGATACAAATCCAGATTAGTGATCATGGAGCAGTAATCTTGAGGCGAATTGGTTGTCCTGGACTGTATGCGATGTCGCAGGAGGGGGACGTGTTGTCGTGAGCAGTGTCTCCGTGGCTTGCGCCTCTGTTACTGAAAAGCGCCATGGAAGTAGAAACTGGAAAAGTTACAATTACTCTGTACTTTCTTTCTTGATTGTCTCATAATTCGTGGATTTCGCGGCTTAGTCGACGTCGCGACTAGCGGTTGAAGAATCGAAGCCCCGCATCGTGTACCTCGGCAGCCCATCCTGGCCCGCCACGGACGAATCACGACAACAAACACCAGGCAGTTTTCGTGCAACCCTTACTCTGTATACGTTACCGCTTTATCCGTGAGTTGTCGTCCGTGACAGTCGCTGCAGCCTAGAAACTAACGACATTTCTAGGACCATTTCTGTCATCTTGACACCAATCTCGATCCTGCAGCTTGCGGCCCCTACGCAGCGTGTACATACATAAACATCGATACACTTTAGAGCGAGCGTCACCACGTCCGTTATTGCATGCAATTACTCTGGTTTCCAAAACCATGGCCGATTTCGAAACCATCATCAACGACGCCATCGCGGCGCAGGAAATCCCCGGGTGTGCTTTAGCGGCCACAAGTCGTGATGGTACGCAACATCTGTCCCCAACGCAATATCCAACCTCCAGTACTAACAAAACACCAGGCTCCTTCACATACTCCAAAGCCTTCGGCAGCACCTCCATGAACCCCAGTTCAGCCAAACCCATGGACCTCAACACCATGATGTGGGTCGCATCCTGCACCAAACTCATGACCGCCCTCTGCGCCATGCAACTCATAGAACGCGGCCACATCACCCTCAACGAACCCGTATACACTCACATCCCAGAACTGGAATCCTTGAACGTCCTCACCGGTTTCACCGATGCGGGAGTTCCCATTGAGGAAAAGCATAAAACGCCTATTACTATCCGTCTCTTGCTGACGCACTCGAGCGGCCTGACGTACGAGGGCATGCATCCAAAAACGCTGGCGTGGCTGAAATATCATGGGAAAAAAATGAATGCCTCTCCAACGGTCGTGGAGCGCTTCGTTGCGCCGCTTGTGTTTGAGCCGGGCGAGAGCTGGGCGTATGGGCCTGGTGTTGATTACGCCGGTTTACTAGTCGAACGTATCTCCGGTCTCACCCTAGAAGAGTACATGAAGAAGAATCTTTGGGGTCCGCTTGGTATCACAGATGTTACCTTCTTCCCTTCCACGCGCCCGCATTTGCAGGAGAGGATGGCGGAGATGTCGGGGAGGGGTGAAGATGGGAAATTAAGTGTTCATGAGGGGAAGATGCCTTTTGTAGATGAGAAGGGCGGGGAGGTGACGGGGTGTATGGGTGGACAGGGGAGTTTTACGTGCGCGAAGGAGTATATTAAGGTGTTGAAGGGGGTGTTGGACTGCGACGCGGGAGGCGAGGGGAAGGTGTTGAGCAAAGAGAGTTTGGAGGTGTTTTTCAAGCCGCAGTTGGGCGAGGGGAGTCGGGCGATGTTAAATGCGGTTGTGCAGGATGATGCGGTATGTGCCTCCTCCTACTCTATTCTTCCAGGGCGGATCGGCTAATGATATCACAGGCAAACAACGCAATGGGCGGTACACCCAAACACGTAGCTAAAGACTACGCCCTCGGCGGCTTGGTCATGATGGATGATGCGCCTGACGGCAAGAAAGCAGGGACGATGCTTTGGGGCGGCTATCCCAATCTCATCTGGTGGATTGACCGTAAGACTGGACTCGCTGGGGTTTACGCGGGGCAGGTAGTGCCTCCAGGAGATGCGATATGTGGAAAATTGATGAGGAAGTGGGAGGAGGGCTGTTATGAAATGTTTGAGAAGCATAGAGAAAGTAAGTCGAAGCTTTGAGTGTGCTGGTGGAAGGGCACGATAGGCAAGGTGGATGTGCTGACGTGTGAGAAGAGGTGTAGAAGCGAAGACGTAGATATAGCAGGGCAGACATCACGGTCAGGCAGTGTAGAAGGGAAGAGACGATGGGTTTTATGGGTATATTCTTCTGTCAATGTTTCTCATCAAGCTCATCCGATGCTCAGCGGTGATGCGATGTGAGCGTTCCGTATCCATATCCATCTCCATGCATCTTCATGTCCATCTCGCACCCGGTAAGCACCACCAAGGTCCATATCAACCCACCAGCCAGTGCGCCCGTCAGTTCGAACCAGTAAGATCCTCGCAACCGCGCCATCAAGGCAACAAAAGAAAGAAAAGCAGATACATGACCCGATACCATCCAACGCCAACTACACAAAGAATCTAGCGACGACGACCAGCAGCCTGAAGCTCAGCATTGCGCTTGAGAGCCTCCATCTGACGGAGACGACCATAGTCGCTGGCGGGAGTGGGGGTCTGACCGATACCGCGACGGGCATTCAGCATGGCGGCAGCGTCGGAGAGATCGAGGTTGTTGTTGACGGGAGAGACAGGCTGAACTGCTGGAGCCGGAGCCGGGTCACCGATGACGCCGTTACCACAAGGACCGCCGAGACCGCGACCGGAGTTGAGACCTTGATGAGCCGGGTGAGACATGTCGCCGAGATTGAACTCGAACTCTGACAAATCAAGCTGGAAATCGGGGAGGTCGAGCTGGAAGTCGGAGGCGAAAGACGAGGTGTCCTTGTTGAGGCAGTAATCCATGTTGACGGCGTCGTTGCCCAATGACTGAATGGTGTTGTTGATGTCGATGTTGATGTCGGCGTTGTTGATGTCGACGTTGTTGATGTTGGAGTTGGACATGGGAGAACTGGCGGTAGACATCTGCGCCTTCTGAGCTGCCATGAGAGCGCGGTACTTGGCGGCGTCCTCGGCGTCGGAGTCGCGGGTGGTGGTAGCGGTAGCCGGGCTGCTGAGGAATGCAGTCGGGCTTGAAGGTGTGATGGTGAGGCCGTTACGCTGTGTCTCTGGGGAAGAGGTAGAGGTGCCCATGAGCTTGGCGCCGCTGTCGCCAGTGCCGAAGAGGTCTTCGCCGATCATCTCGAAGTCAGGTGGGGGAAGTAGAGTGCCGGGCTCGCCGATCTTGATACCGGTGCTGGGGTCAATGCCCTGGAGGAGAGGAAGTAGAAGACGGCCTTTCTCTTCTTGGGAAAGCTGAGACCAGGGGAGGTGGTAAAGCTCTCCGACGCAACGAATGGGTCCGGATGGTGCAGAGACGGTGCGCTTGTGAGCCTTCGCAGGCTTCTTGGGCTTGGTGACCTTGGCGGCCTTCTCCTTGGGAGGCTTGGGAGCTCTGGGCTTGGGCGGAGCTTTCACCTTGACAACCTTGGGCTTGGGAGGGGCCTTGGGCTTGGTCGCGCGAGGTTTGGCGGGAGCCTTGGTCTTCTTGGCCGGGGTTACCGGCGGAGCTGGGTTCATGAGAGGCGTCCACATTGCCTCGATAGGCCCTGGAACGGCAGGCAAAGTGGAGGCCGGGAGGGTCTCAATGGCCTTGGGGAGAGTAGAGGACGCCAACTCAGCACCTTGTAGATGCCTGGCGTGACTCAGGAGGTCACCGCCAGGAAGTCCAAACGACATGTCGCCGGCAAACTCTCCAGCGTTGAAGCCGTAGTCGAAGTTGAGAGCGACGTCGTCGCCAGAGGTCTCGACGGACGGCAGAGGGATGTCCTTGAGGAAGTCGTCGTTGCAGAACATGCTGAAGTCGAAGTCCATATTGTTGGACATGTTGATGAATACGTAGGTGTGAAAAAAGTGAGAAAGTAGTCGCTGAGATGCTTGAAGATAATCAGGAAGTAGTGTGTGGTGTAAGAGAGACGAATAGAAATTGATTTTGACAGCCACAAGGTGAGCTCTGTGGGAGAAAGGCTCGGCGTCGTTATCTAAGCAATTGAGGAGGCTGGTTAGAGAGTCTGTGAGCATGAAGGTAGATAAATACCGCACCTTTTCCTCCATCTTCTGCGGTGCAGGTGGTGGTGGTGGATACTTCAGTTACCCGATTTGGCGTCGCATACTGTGGCGGCGGCCGGCTATTGGCCCAGCCTCTCGAGGAACTGGTGTTCTGACCGGGATCTGGTGTCGTTCTGCGGAGGTTCGGGGGTTGGGGTCGAAAAGTTGTGTTTCAGGTCTCCTTCACTTTTTGCGCAGCAGCGCCTGACTGGCTCGGTAAAGGCTCAATAACGCGACAATAGCAAGAAAGACGTGAGAGAGAAGGCAGCAGATAAATCTTGTGTGGCTGGCGACGTCATTGCGATTCTAGACGCCGTTTGGTGTGGTGGCCGCGTTGGGGTGGTAAGGTGAAGGGGCGCTGAAGGATGAACAGATGGCGAGCGCGACATTCCAACACCGGATATTGGCTAGAGATGTTAAGACACTGAGCTTAATTGCATGTAACAGATGGTGCGAGTGGTACCTTTGGATGCGTTTGAGCAACTCGTGCGTCAACGCGTCTCAGTGAGCCAGGCCGGCGCTGATACACTCGAGAGCAGCATCCCGCATAGGCGGCATGAGGGCCTCGGCGATGCGCCAACAGGCCCATAGAAGTGTTGTATGCGAGTTGGAGCGATTAGTATGAGTCGCGATATAGATTTGCATTCATGGTGCCTTCTCTGTACTTCGGGCACCGCTGGTGGGACCGTTTGGTGAGGGGGAGGGCAATGACGTCACTGATCACGACACCGGGCGCGAAATTTGACCGCGGCCCTGAGATGACTTTGTCAGCTTCAACTGACTAAGCACTAACTGCGAAGGAGAAAACATCTCCCAGTAACGATGCGTGTGGTTGTGTAGACGTACAAAGCTTGCGAAGTGTGTGTGCGTGGTGGTTTGCGCGGGCTGTTGCCGACTCATAGGAAAGAGGCGCCTGCCGAGGATGAGAGAAGACACTGAACGGGCATATATTTACAACATTCATTGATATATAAGAACGACAATAGCTACTGAAGATGGAGTGACGTTGGCTTGTCAAGCGCCAATCATGCGTGTCATCCCGCAGATCGCTGGGCGCTGCCGCGAAGGATCTAGCGCGAACATGGACAGAACCCAAATGCCACCGCGCGTGTCATCCTTCCCGCATCATCCCATCTCGCTTCCCATCTCCTCCAGCGCTCGCATCTCACTTATTGAGCGTCTTCGACCGTTGGTCGTCCCCTGCCTGTGTGCACTTTACTCGTGCTATGGGGTAGTCTCATTTGGGGATTGCAGACCGATTGTCGCGCCTGCCACCTTCACTGCCATGCATGGCCAGCAGTCCATCGCGGCCTCGACTTCCATTGTCGCCACACGATAATGCAACCGTTGACCTCCAGCTTTTTTATCGCATTGTACCTCTAGGCGCTTAGTCGTCTTCAATCCTAAGGTAGTCCGTGGCCCAGTGGACCCTGAGCTCCTCGTCCATGCCCTCCCACACGTCACGCGTCATCCTTTCATCAATCTGCTGCCACGACGATTGATACTCTGGAATCTGCGATACTTCGACGAGGCGGCTTCGCGCAACCCGGCGTACCACTTGAGGTTTCGCCTTCCGTGCCTGCGTTGGGATTGACGTTCGGTCGTCGCGTCCTGGGGTGATGGGACTGTGCGTTCGTCTGCTTGATGCTCGCGTCAGCAGCGGCGTCCTTGGATCCGACGCATTGTCCGCCACATTGTTGTGAGCATCTGACGTGGTGGCGAAGTCGATGCCCCGTGGCGCGTATGTGTTGCTCACTGAGGATCGCGCAGAGCCAGCGCTACCCTGACTCGCATTATGATCGCCAGCCTCAATGCGCATCGCAGCCTGCTCCTCGGAGAGTGCCGCTACCATCTTTGACAACCACACTTTACCCGCAATGTAGATGGGGTACCATCCCTGTGGCCGTAGTGCCTTCAACGCGGCTTCAGTAGGCGACAAACACACTCCGGACGTAGAGTCGTAGAAGGTCGCAGAGATCAACTCCGGCGGAACACCCTGAAGCCCATGTGCCATAGCAAATGCCAGCGTCTTCCGATCATGGATCTCGGGGTTGGCGGGCGGAGCAGGCTCGACGAAATGTTGCTCACCCTTCTCTGCTTTGAGGGCGGCAATCTCGTTGTGTAAGCGCTCGGTTGTTGCGACGGCCTCGTTGAAGTAGAGGTGGTACCAATAATTTACGTCGCTACTCGCGATCATAACGTCGCTCTCGCACTTATCGACGATGGTCTTGCTCCACTGCTCGATCTCCTCAAGTCTATCCTGTAGCTGAGCGTTGGTGTCGAGGAGGCTCTGGTTTGTAGCGGCGGTCCCGCTCACCAGGTCCAGCAGCTCGGACTGGTCTTGCTCACCGAGAGCACCTTGCCGACTTCTGGCTACCTTGCGGAGCATGTTCAGCTCGTGCATCATCGCTTCTGTGCTTTTGCCAAGCTTGCTATGGGACTTCTTCTCCTCAATAAGCTTGGCTTCTAAGATGCCATATTCGACGGAGACTTTGAGGTGATCGCTGTCAACCTTGTCAAGCTTGGCTTGCAAATCCGACTTCTCGTCTCGCTCGGCTTGGAGAGAGTTTCGCAGTTGCTCATTCTCGAGATCGATCGCATCGAGAGCTGCACAATGAGCGCCGGGTACAACATTGCCTTGCTGTACTTGTTCGAGTTGTTTGGCCAAGTCCCGGATTTGGTCCGTCTTCAGCGCCAGTTTGTCATCGAGCAGATGTACATTCTTCTGGGAGCGGTTCAACGCCGCCCGCGAATCCTGCTCGGCCTCTCGGTGTCGCGTGACGTTCGTCTCGGTATTCTGGATTGTGTCGAGCAGGTTTTCGACGTGCGTCCTCAATCGCTGCACTTCCGCTCGACGCTCTGCTGCTTCTTCTTTACCAGCAACATCTGCCTCCAACACGCGCTGAAGCTCACTTCCGGTTGTGAACTTCTGGCGTACCATTTGCGACATGGTTTCGTGCTCTTTCTCGAACTGCTGGATTCGAGCCATGAGGCTGATGATGGTCTCCTCTTCCTGAGACATGGCGTCGTAGTATTCAGCTGCTATACGACTGTTCTTCATCTCCAATACTTCGTTCTTGCTTTTCAGATCGTCTATCTTGACCCTGTTTGCTTTGAGAATCTTCCTCTTCTCCAGATTGGCCTTCCTCTTTATGTCTTCACGCTGAGCGGTCACCTTTTCGATCGATTTCTGGAACGTGGATTCCTTCCGCAGGCATTCTTGTTGCCACTTCTCGGTTTCTTCACGCTGGGCTGCGATGGCCAGGTCGTGATCTGCCTTCAACGTCGCCGTTTTCAGATCCTTGGCCTTGACCTCCGCTTGGTGCTTCTCAGCCGCTTCAACGAAACGGTCATTCAGGTCTCGGTTTGTCTCGTCAACCTGTTGGCAATAGGCCTCCATGTCGGCCACTTCTTGGGACCACTGATCTACCAATCGCTTGTCATTCAGGCGCTGCGCCCGCTGCTCGGCGTATTTTTGGTTGAGAGCTTGGTATTGAGCGTCTTTTGCGTCGCGGAGATCGTCTTGTAGAATCCCATACCGCCCGCCAGTGACCATCAACGCCTGGCGGAGCTTCCGTGTGGTCTTGCCATCGTCGCTTCCAGGGTACGAAGTACGATCAGTGTCGGGGCTCGCGCCGCGCTCGTCGTCGCTGTCCGGCCCAGAACTCGGCTTTCCGCTGCCGTTGGGGGAGCTGGTTGTCGAAATCGATGAGGCGATCATGCCGTGTGCTATTCGTGCCTTCCGCCAGGTGTTTTCGGTTGCGGCGTTGATGCATAGCGCAATGTTCTTGCACAGCGCATTGTCCTTCGATGTCTTATCAGTCTCATTGTTCGTTTGTGTATTGTCATGACCTACGTGGAGCGAAACTTCTGTCTCAGTCGCACGCCAGGCGAACAGCGTCTTGATCTGAGCCAGCCTCTCCTGGTATACAGTGTTCGCTGGGTCGCCATCGACCTGCGCGACTTCGGATGATGGCTGACTGCGCGTCATCTTCTCGCGGCTGGCCTCGATCGGAATGGCGAGTTGCTGTTGGGTCTCCATGTCGGTCGCACTCATGTTGGTGCTGGTGGAGCTGCTTGCAGAAGCGATCTCGTTGGCCGTCGGCGCGCTCAACATGATAAGCTCAGGTGTGGTCAGGGGAATGAGATTGGTTGAGCGGGCGTCTACTCCAGAGTTGAGTGAGCCTGTTGGTGTGGGCAATCGGTAAAGCGGACCCGTAAAGAGAAAGGAGAGTTGCTGTGGTCATTCAGGCGTTGCGCAGCGCACATGACGTAGGCGCACGACTATCGTCAGATTCACTGAGTTCTTACACTTTGGGTCAAAACACGCTGGCAGGATCTGATAGGGCCAGTCATGGGGCGCATTATATGATAGTAAGGTGTATCTGCACGGAAGAACCACTTGAACATCACTGTGAAGATGCTCAAATCTACCTAGTGTTGTCGTTGTCGGAACGAAATACTACACAGGTCAACATTGAGGAAGCTCTTCGCCACCCGCTCGCGATCGAACGCCCCTTCAAAGACTGATGTTGTCATGCTAGTGGCGCTCACGATGCGCCTATTGCCGTCATGATTCCACAGCTCCTTTTAGGGGCTTTTATCGTTTTATCGATCATGAATATGTATATGTTGAAAGTATTACCTGAACTATGGCCGATGCGAACAATGCCTGAGACTTGTTGTCGGTATTTGGACGTGACAATGTGTAGACCGCCACACTGTGTTTGTCTTTGTCTGAGTTAGAATAGAAGGAGAGTTACATCGATGCAAGCCCC